GCTGAAACAGGATCCGGTTGTGCCTTGTGCATCACATTCTCTCTGTGAAGAACCAGTTTTTTACTGCTACCAATATATGGAGTTCAGAAAAAATGCTTCCTCATAGTTTTGCTTTTAATTTGCCTTAGGGACATCAGCTTCTTAATCTGGACTTGGTTTGGTTCTGCACACGTCAGCAAACACCAAGCATGACAGCAAGTCTGAAATCTGAGCTGTTCTTTGGACAGAGCCCTCACTCAGTTGGCAGCTGGCAAATGGCTCTCCTGGCCTTCCCAGTGCTCCTGCCACCTCTTCCTGGCTTGTCTGACTCCCTGCTTTCGCCATCTTCCTTCCTGGAATGACAAAGCAGTGGTGGGATGTAGAGCTGGGCTAGAGAATAGGTTTGAAAAGTCAGATAAATCAGATAGAGGAACTTTTCCATAAAATGCCAGAATCCCAGAGTGGTTTGGGTGATAAAGAACCTCAGAGCTCCTCTTGTTCCACCCCTTGCCATGAGCAGAGACACCTTGCACCATCCCAGGGTGCTCCAAGCCCCAGTGTGCTGCCTGGCCTTGGACAGAAATGCAAGGGCAGCCACAGCTTCTCTGGGCACCCTGTGCCAGGGCCTCCCTACCCTCCCAGGGAACAATTCCTTCCCAATATCCCATCTATTCCTGCCCTCTGGCAGAGGGAAGCCATTCCCTGTGTCCTGGCACTCCAGGCCCTTGGCTAATGTCCCTCTCCAAGTACTGTAATATTTTTTTCCCCTCACCTCTAGGAATATTCCAAAAGGGTAAAAAACTTGTGTGGAAACCAGTTTTACTCAGAATAATTCTTATTTATTTATACATGGACTTACCTTCAATGTAAACTAGAAATAACACAGCCTTGGGCAGATTTATAATAACAGGCTTTATATGTTCCAAAAATGCCGATGGCAGCAACAGCCAAAACATCCTTTGTCGGTTTTGTTGTTTCTTCTTGATCTGCTGGATCTTCCTGGTTTCCTGCCTGGAAAGCAGGAGTAGGTGCAAGGCCAGTGCCAGGGTAGGTTGTATCCTGTTTACACAGATTGGTTTGCCCTCCATCCCTGTTTGCAAACAAAACTGCCAGCAAACTTGCTGAGCCACAGTGCTGAAACATCTTCTGCCTCCAATGCTGGAATTCTTTGACCTTGGAAGAGGCCATGGCCTCTCATGACATGCTCATGAATCTGATTTAGTCCAGCTCCTGGCACACAGGGACTGAATAATCCTAGGCTGGTTTCAGTGTCACTGCCATTCCTATAAAAAGAAGAGTGAAGTGTGATCCTTGGTGCATGAGTCCCCTTCCCTCTTGCATCTTCCCCGTGGAACACGTGTGCTTCCTGGCTGAGCACCAGACACTTGGAGTGTGAGAGACAGAGGGAGAAACCTGGGATGGGCACTGAGCTGAGCCTGTTCCTGGGGTGAGGAATGGTGTAAACACATTTTAGATGTGTGCTCTGGAAACTATGCAGGAGGATAAAGCTGGTAGTCAGAAACGGCCTGTGAGATGGATCAAAGGAAGGTTTGTTGTCCAAAAAAGAGCAAGGGAGCTGGGGAAGGGGCTGGAGCATCAGGAGCAGCTGAGGGAGCTGGAAAGGGGCTCAGCCTGGAGAAGAGGAGGCTCAGGGGGGCCCCTGTGGCTCTGCAGAACTCCCTGACAGGAGGGGACAGCCGGGGGGGTTCGTGCTCTGCTCCCAGGGAACAGGGACAGGACTGCCTCAGGTTGTGCCAGGGGAGGTTTAGATTGGATATTAGGGAAAATTTCTTACCCCAAAAGGTTGTCCAGCCCTGGTACAGCTGCCCAGGACAGTGGTGTGTCCCCATCCCTGGAGGGATTTAAATCTCTGTGGATGTGGCACTTGGGGACATGGGATAATGGTGGCCTTGGCAGTGCTGGGGGAACAGTTGGGCTCCAGGATCTTATGTGTCTTCTCCAAACTCAATAATTCCATGATTCTATGATTCTGGTCATCTGTCTCAGCTGGGAGTCCTAATGGTGCTTTTAAACCTCGTCCATTTTGTGTCCCACCTGTACTGTAAAATAGCAGCAAGAACTGGTGTTAAATCTTTCCCACAGCTGGCAGTTCATTTTTAGGAAAATTATTAGGATAGATACACACATCTTAACACCACTTCATCCTGCACTTGAGGCAATGGTAGGAAAATGGGAGGAGTTGTATTTTAGGTGATCATCTCTGAAACCACATGCCAGTGGTGTGTTTTCCAAGCACACCTGGTTTCCTGACTTTGGGAGCAAACAGACTGTTCTCCTTTGCCTTGGTGACATCAAATAGCATCAGGCACCTGCTCTTGTGTTTTGGCTTTGGAGTACAGAGCATTTTAGGGGTATGAGGTGTCAGGAAGGAATTATTGACTGTGAGGGAGGTCAGGCCCTGGCACAGGGTGCCCAGAGAAGCTGTGGATGCCCCTGGATCCCTGGAAGTGCCCAAGGCCAGGCTGGACAGGGCTTGGAGCAACCTGGGACAGTGGAAGGTGTCTGCCCATGGCAGGGAGTGGGACTGGATGGGCTTTAAGGTCCTTTCCCACCCAAACCATTCTGGAGTTCTGTTCCTTCCACTGGAAATGGGAGGTGCTGGCATTCCATCCCTGGCTGTGCAGGACATGTGGCACGTGGGAAAGGAGAGCTATGGGAGGCAGGGGATGAAGTTTCATGCACCTTTGAAATAGGATTAACTGGCAGATTGGGGGAATTTCCTAGAGATGCTTTCAGATGCTGTGCAGAACTCAGGGATCAGTCACTACCCCTCTCCAGCCACTCCTGACCTTTTGGCTGTTCCTTGGACAGATGAGCAGAAAACAGCATGGCAAGAATGAGCTGCTGTGCTGGTCTCTGGACAGCCCTGTCCAAGGAAGGTGCTTAGCCCAGCAAGCAGCTCTCTCTGCTGATTTTTAAGCTTCTACTGTAGCCAGGTCTGGATTTAATCTGTCTTGGCTCCTTACATATTGGTTTAGGAAATTCATCCTGGAGAATTGTGCAGAAGAAAGAATAGCAAAGCAAAGATTCTTGTAATTATCCATGTCTGCTATTTCAGTGTGATAGACAGGAAGTGTTTTGAAGTATTTTACCTGCAGGCTGCCACCTGAGTCTGTAATGCTAATGCACAGGTTACCAAACACGAGGACTCACTTATTCCTCAAAAAGCCATTTCCCTCTCCCAACAGTGCATATCGAAGTGCCCCACAACAGATTCCTGGTGCTGTTTGTCTTGGGAGGGAGCTGGGCACTTCGAGAGACCTTTGCCAAGGCTCAGAGAAGCAGCCCAGTGATGTAGGTGAAAGGCCAGACTGGTGTATCAGTTTTCCAAAAGGTCTTCCTGGCCCCACAGCTTCCTCCCTTAAAGGCTCCGGGAGCAGGATCACTTTTCTCAGTGCTTCAAAGGCACAGCCCAGCTCTAAACTAGCTGGGGAGAAATGTGTTTCTTTGTATGCTGTATTTATTCCTCTTCTAGTGCTGCTGGAACATCAGGGACAAAGCCAGGCTGTGAGAGGCTGCTGGCAAAGCAGGGAGGAGATGACTGTTTAAAGCAGGGCTTTTCCTCTCATGGGCTGCTGCCTGGGGGTCCCTGCAGGCAGCTGAGCCTGGGCCATCCCATTTATCATGGAATCACAGTGATGGTTTGGATGTGGGGGTCCTTAAAGCTTATCCAGCCCTACCCCTTGCCATGGCTTCCACTAGACCAGATTGTTCTAAACTGCATCCAGCCTGGCCTTGGGCACTTCCAGGCATCCACTGGCAGCCACAGCTTCTTGGGCACCCTGTGCCAGGGCCTCACCACCCTCATAGGGAAGAATTTCTTCCCAACATCTGATCTAAATCTCTCCTCTTGTAGTTTAAACCCATTCCCTGCCCTGTCCTGTCAGCAGCTGTGACAGAGCATTGTCTCTCCCCTGTGAGGAGATTTGGTCTTCAGAGTTCTGCAAAGTATAAAGTAAAATAATAATTGAAAGCCCAAATGCAGTCAGGTCCCAGTGACTACACCACTGTCATTCCTTTGGCTTCATACAGGGAGGCTTTGGCTGAGGGTGGATGCTCACAAGTTCAGAGGTCACACACCAGAGCCCCTTTCTGGTTCATATCATTCTCTTTCTCGTGGGATGGTTTTTTCTGTGTGTCCAACTTGTCACCCTCTGCATAGCCCGGTGGTTTGCCATGACATGAAACCAGGGCAGAGCTCTCACACCTGCTCCCTTCTCTCCCCAGAGCAGGAGTGAAGCTGTGCCTGGAGGAATCCCCTACCGAAGATCAAACCATCCCAGGCCCAGCCCCGAGCTCTCGGAAGAGGAAACCAAAAGAATCGCCAGGATCTTCTCTGCTCAGCTCTCCAAGAGGGAATAGTGCTGGCCAGAGGCCGTGCACAGCAGAGCTTCCTAAGCCATGGCTGGATGCATGGCAAAGGCTGAGCCCTCCAGCAGAGGGGAGGTGGAAGCCACAGCTTCCAGGCTCTGTTTTTATTTTGCCTAATTGGTTACTTGAAGTCCCTTATTTAGAAGGGCTTAAAGCCTGTGGTCACCCACAGGGAGCTGCATCTTGTAGGGGCAGGTCCCCAGTGAGATGCACCCCTGTGGGTAACCCACAGCCTGTTACCTGCTCTCCAAGTAGTCTAGTCTTAGGATTTATTCCTGTGAAATGGCCCTTTCAGAAATAATTGGTGGGCAACACAATTCTCTGGTTCCACAGGTGCCCAAAGTGCTTGTGTGAACATAGGCCAAGGGCACTGTAAAATCTGGTGGGTGTACAAAAGAGGGTGACTAGGAAGATGAGACTTTTATATTTATATTTAAATTATTTTTGTACACCTTTCAGAGAACAGACTTTGATACCAGCAGAGCTCAGTTATTTTTGTACTGCTGTCTCCAGAGTTTATTTCAATAAAACTCCCCTGGTTTCTTGTCAGCCCATGCAGTGTCCTTATGCCAGGGCAGGAGCCTTTTCCTCAACAGGGAAGCACAGGGAAGCTCTCTGTGCTTCCAAGTCAGAGAAGTGCTGCTGGAAGCTGGGGTGGCCAGGAGCACATGGAAAGATCGTTGCTTTGCCAAGGAATTGAGTATCACCGTGCAGCATAGCTCCATGTGGGGTGAGTCGCTTCCAATCTGAGCTGCTTTTCAAACCATGCATGGAATGCAGGATTTAAGGTGCCAAAGGATCAGCATCCCATTTTTCTCCCACTTCTGCCGTGTTGTTTTTCCCAGGGGCCACCCTGAATGCGTAACTCAGTGCTGGTACAACTTGCCCTGTGGTTGTGGCCCTTTTTGCTGCCCTCGCTGGTCGGGATGGCAGGTAAAAGCACCCAGTGTCCTCTGGAAGGACAGGAGTGACGTGCAGGCTGCTTTCTCCTGGTGGCATCCCCCCAAAAAACTCAGGCAGGATGCCAGCTGGGCTGGGCTCACTGTCGCAGAGGAGGTGACAGCACTGACCCTTGAGCTGTATCTTGGGCATGAGGTAAATAGCATTTTCCTTTCAGGTTTAGGTCAGCAGTGGAGCTGGGCAGGAAAACAAGGTGGGAGCCAGCTGGAGAGGAGTGTTGGTGCCAGGCAGCTTGGTCTGTAGCCCGAGGGATGGAGCAAAGGTGGCTTCAGGGTGGCAGGAGCACTCCAAGTCCCTCTTGTGCAAGGCGAGCTCAGGTGCAGGTGTGGAGGCTTGCAGCACATCCTGAGGGACCTCTCTGCATGTGGGGCTAATGAGAACCAAGGGTTAAACGCAGAGATTTTTAAAAATGGAGGAAAAGGGGTCTTTCTTCACTGCACCTTGTCTTACAGCCTCTTGTCCTGAGCTCAGTCACTCCCAGCAGCCTCAGACCCAGTGCCTGGCCATGCTCTGAAGGGATTTGAGGGTGGATTTCACTCCAAGGTGCTCACTCGGCCCCTGCTCCACCAGAGCTTGGGGAACACATTCCACCATGCAGAGGCAATTCTGCTGGGAGCTCGGCAGCTGTCTGGGGTGGATTGTGGCTCATGGTCTGTGTCGGGCAAAGGGATCCAACCTGCCTGCACAAAGAGCTCAGTGCTGCGCTGCCTCCAAACCACTTGCTTGTCAAGCCTTGGGGTGAGGCTTTTCTTTATCTGGTCCTTCCAAGAGTGGTTTTAGGGTAAAAATCGACATTCCTCCTCAGTCCAATGCAGGGGGTCTGGGCAGGACCCCCCTCCCCAAGCCTGAGCCCTGTGAGGGGCACATAAGGCTTAAACAGCCATCTCATCATTGGTGCCAGGTGACCCAGTCCCATCAGCTGAAATGCCACTGGGGCAACACTGTTTTCCTGTCACCCGATCCCTGGCTGCTGGAATGTCTTCTGGGTGCTATATAAGGGTGGGGCCAGGGAGAGGGCTCTGAGGGCACTGCCTGTGCAAGGCAGGAGCTGGAACACTGTGCCGAGGTCCCTACGGTGAGGCCACGGAGGGACATGGCTCCGGGCAGGTCACTCTGGGGGAGATGATCTCACCCAGCAAGCCCTGTTACGGCTGGGGTGGGATAGGGAAGGGTGGGCATTGGTGATCCCATGCTGAGCAAGCCCTGTGCCTCAGTTTGCCTGGGATAGAAGGGACGAGACAGGGCAGAATATGGTTTTTGGGATTGACCAAAGGCATCAAGAGCCACTCTGGCACATCGTCACCTCCGTCGCCGAACAGGACATGCACATGAAGCCGTGTCCTGATGCACCCTCCTGGCTCCCCCACAAATCCCTCCTCTCCTTCCAGCCTCTCTGCCACCATGGTGGGTCTGAAGCCCCCCGAGGTGCCCCCGACGGCTGCCATGAAGTTCGTCAGCGCAGGGATGGCCGGCTGCATCGCTGACCTGTGCACCTTTCCCCTGGACACCGCTAAAGTGCGGCTGCAGGTACGATCCACTGGGTCCCCAAAGCCCCGCGGGCAGAGGGAGCACCTGGTGCTACCACAGAGTGGTGGCACCTGGGGAGGAACAGAAGGTGAGGTGACGCAGTTGGCACCCCACAGATCCAGGGCGAGGTGAGGATCCCCCGGACCATCAGCTCCGTGGAGTACCGGGGTGTTTTGGGGACGCTGAGCACCATGGTGAGGACAGAGGGAGCCCGTAGTCTCTACAGAGGGCTGGCAGCTGGGCTGCAGCGCCAGATGAGCTTCGCCTCCATCCGCATCGGGCTGTACGACTCTGTGAAACAGCTCTACACCCCCAAGGGTGCTGAGAGTGAGTGTCCAGGCAGTCTGGACTGCCCTGCACACCCCCTTCCTGGTGCACAGCCCTCTCCCATAGAGAAACTCACCCTGGGGGGCACAACCCCCTGAGATGACCTTCGGTGAAGCACCACAGGCCACTCACCCTGGGGTCCCTGCAGGGCTGGGGGTCCCTGCAGGGCCAGGAGTCCCAATACGTGCCCTCTCCAGACACAGGCATGAGCACGCGGCTCCTGGCTGGCTGCACCACAGGGGCTGTGGCCGTGGCCTGTGCCCAGCCCACCGACGTGGTCAAGGTGCGGTTCCAGGCCAGCAGAGCCGTGTCAGACAGTGCCCGCCAGTACAGCAGCACTGTGGATGCCTACCGCACCATCGCCAGGGAGGAGGGGATCCGCGGGCTCTGGAGAGGTAAGAGTGGACAGGGATGGGCATGGGAAAGGGTGGGAATAGAAATGGAAACGGAGATGAGGAAGGGAACAAGGATGGGGACAGCAGGGCTGGGTCACCTGCCCAGGGTACTGCAGGAGAGGCTGTGAGCAGCATTCCCAATGCCACCACCCTCCTGCCCAGGCACGCTGCCCAACATCGCCCGCAATGCCATCATCAACTGCGGGGAGCTTGTCACCTACGACCTCCTCAAGGACGCGCTGCTGCGGACACATCTCATGGCAGGTGAGGACATGGGGGGACGTGGCCACGTGCCGTCCCTGTCCCTGCAACATCCAACCCCCAGCTCTTCCCCACCTTTAGACAACGTCCCGTGCCACTTCGTGGCCGCCTTTGGTGCCGGGTTCTGTGCCACTGTGGTGGCATCACCGGTGGACGTGGTGAAGACGCGGTACATGAATGCCAGCCCCGGGCAGTACCGCAATGCCCTGAGCTGCCTCCTGGCCCTGCTCATGCAGGATGGCCCTGCCGGCCTCTACAAAGGGTGAGTTGAGCACCTGCCGACTCACTGCGATCCCTCACAGAACCCCAAATCTCCCAACCCACGTGCGGGACTTTGGGGATGGGGATGTCCCCAGCGTGTCCCCTTCAGCACTGCTTTTGTCGGCACAGCTTCGTCCCGTCCTTCCTGCGCCTGGGCTCCTGGAACGTGGTGATGTTTGTGTCATACGAGCAGCTGCAGCGTGCCATGGTGCTGGCACGGCCGGGCCTGGCCTGAGCCCCTCAGCACCTCTCGCCGGCCCAGCAAGGCTCAGCATCAATCACATTAATTCATCAATTACATTAATTGCCAAAGCACCGGGGAGGAGCGAAGCCACACGCTCGGGGAGGGCCTGGAGGAGACAGAAGGAGAAAGGATGCTGTCTGAGGAGAAACGTGGGAAAACAGAGGTTTTCAGAGAAGAGTTTTAAGGGATGAAGGAAAAGTTGTTTGTTGGCTTTCCAGCCGGGAAGAGCAGCACTTCCCAAGGGCAGTAGTGTGGGCAGATGGGACCAAGCTGAGGGCCAGGGAATTCCCATTATTCCTTACTGGCACTTAAAATAAACCGCCCCTATGGGGTCTGATCACAGCGTGGCTCAGGGTTTCTTTACCTCTTCGGGGTGTTTAGGGTCATTGTTCCAGCTCTATGTGTGACACCAGTCAAGCTGACATTCTCTATCACTTTTGGTGCACTGAGCAATTTCCCATTGATCTCTAATTATTCAGGTCTGTCACAATCACAAACAGCAGCTCCACCTCTCGCCCTGCCAAGGCAGCAGATCCTTGACCCATGCCAACCACTCTGAAGCCTCAAGTGGTCCCTTTTTAGCACAGTGAAAATGTACATCCTAAGCAGGAGAGGACATAGAATTCCCTTTCTCTGTTTTCCAAGCCTAAGACAGCTGGGAATTGCTTTCTTCCCATGGGTAACTGGCAGGAAGGAGATTTCCTCTGCTATCACTCCAGCTGTAGCATCCCCATTTGTCACAGACATTCAGTTCTGTTTCGAGGACTCCCATCAGAAAACTGACTCCAGTTCTCAGAAGCGAATTCCCAGGCGGTTTTTACTCCCTGGAAAGAGCAGGGATGAGCAAGGCCGGGAACGCCGCCGGAAGAGCCGGCAGGGCGGAGCCGCGGGCGGTGCCGCAGGGGCGGGGTCCGGGTCGGACACGGAACCGGCCCCTGCGGTTCCGGCCCTGCCCGCGGCCGTGTCCGCCCGAGCGGCCCCGCGGGGCAGAGCGCGGCTCTCGCTGCCCTGCGGCCGCCCCGATCCTGCTGTGCCAGCGGCAGCTGCGCCGGGAGCGAGCTGTCCCGAGCCTGGCATGGGCGCAGTCCCCTTGGCTGGCGCAGCGACGGCCGGAACGAGCGAACGGCGGCTGTGGTGAGTGGCCGGAGGGCAGAGAGGGCCGGGCGGATCCGCGGGGGGATGTGAGCGCTTTCAGCGCTGATCCTCGGGACCCAACTGCTCCGTGGGACGGGTTTGTCCCGCACTCGGCGCTCTCTGGGACCACGTTTCACGGAACAAAGCTCCTGCCGCGTTCCCAGGTGCGATGGAAACGTTTGTGGGATGGGCTGAGCTCCGTTTTCCGGGAAGCAGCGGGACGGGTGTCCCTGCGCCCACCCCGCGGGTCGCAGAGAGAAGCTGCTCCTGTGGCCACGGGCGAGGCTCGGGGGGAAAAAACTGAACAGTCCTTATGGAAACCCATGG